AATCTTTATCCAATAAGATATGAGATATTTATAATCCAATAAAATATTATGACGAAAGGTCATTATACAACAATATCGATTATAATTGTATTACCCAAAATGAAACTGTTTTCCAACAATACCCATTGGCAATCAATCATTAACATCCTACTTAATCATTCTTTAGCATGATTACATTCGAATACTAACTATATACGTTGGCAATTGATTGCAAACCACTTCAATTGGCAATCAATTATCAACATCCCAACCAATTAACATTGATCATGATTACAAATAATTGCAAACTATTTTCATTGAAAATCGATTGTCAACCATGTATATTGGCAATCAAGCATCAACAACTCATTGATTAGCAATGATCATGATTGCAATCAATTGCAATTAGTTCTCGCTAGTAATCGATTAGCTATCTTATACATTGGCAATCAATTATCAACACCCCACCGATTGGCATCGATTGTGATTGCAATCAATTGCGAACAGAACTCGTTGACAATCAATTGCTGACAATTTCTATTGGCAATCGATCATCAATACACCACCATTTTCTATCGCTATTGGTTGCAATCGATTGCTAACGATGTTCTTTAATGATTTTCAAATGCAATCGATTGTTAGCGATTATAATCGATTTTAATCACTGACAATTGATTATAATCCTTATTGATGGTGAATGATGGGGGTGTTAATAATCGATTACCAATGGGCATGGTTATAAATCAATTGTCAATGGGTATAGAAATTTTCTGATGTATAAGATCAATTATATTTATACATATTTTTAAAACTAAATTTAAATAAGTTAATGTTGATAAAAATATATTAATTTTAGTCTAAAATAATTTAATACAAATTAATCTGACTAAAAAATAATAAATTACAATAACAATCAGAAATAATGTAATAATATCAAAATTTATTAATTAAATATATATAATTATATATTGTAATAATCAAAAATAATATAATAATATTAAAATTTATTAATTAAATATAGTAAAATACAAATTTTCTCTTTATATAAAAGTTTTTAATTTTATTAATAAATATTTTTTATTTTTATATTAAAATGAAGATAATATTACATATTTTAATATATATTTTTTCAGATTTTTTAGATTTAATCTAATAAAGTTGTTCTAATTGCATATAAAGTTAATTATTTTTTTATAATTAAAACATATAAAAAAATAATTGACTTTATATGCAATTAGAATAGCTTTATCAGATTAAATCTAAAAAATCTGAAAAAAATACATGTTAAAATATGTAATATTATCTTCATTTTAATGTAAAAATAAAAAATATTTATTAGTAAAATTGAAACTTTTCTTTTATAAAGAGAAAAATCTGTATTTTACTATATTTAATAAATTTTGACATTATTACATTATTTTTAATTGTCACTATATATATATATATATTATATTTAATATATTAAATATTTATTTAGAATTATTTATTTATAAAATTTAGTTAAAATACAAGTTACAATTAAATCTGATTACATTATTATATCAAGATTTATACTGGTTTATTTTTTTATTTGTTTACTATAATAATAATTAACTACATAATTATTGCCCAAAATTATTGTCCAATAAGATAATACTATATTAATTAACCAATAAAAATATAATATAAAAAATTCAATTATATAACAGTTTATTATTTGTTAAGAAAAGATAAAAGTTTATTATCAAAAAATTTTATTAATAAAATATTAATTCAGAAAAAACATAAATATTAGCATTTTGAATTATTGGTATTATTTCAAAAAACAAATAATTAAGTTTTTTCTTACCTAAATCATTTTTTATTCAGATATTTTATCGTTTAAACGCGATTCAGTGATCTGATTTTCGCGATCCAAGCACTGTTCGATTTGTTCGGACGGATCGCGAAAATCGGATTATTGAATCGTGAGATATCGCGTGAGTGATGTAGTTAAGTAAGCTATTAATTAGTGATCGAAAGTCTGACTTCAAATTTTTTTGATGTTTATCTTGCTAATTTTTTTCATGTGTTTTTGATTAGGGGTGCAGCCATTAGAACTTAAAGTCATAAACTAGGTAGCTACCCAAATATTAATATAACGCTACTCCTTACATTTGCATCTCTATTGGATGAATTAAATTCTGCAACAGGAAGTTCATTAACAGGGCACGTCACAGTAGTATGTTAGAGATTAGAATCACAATAAATCATAAATAAAAAGCTATTTATTTATTAGTTTTTTCTTTTAAATTAGATAATTCAAGACATTGGCCAGCATCTAATAAATATGGCTCTTGTAAAGCCTACTTGTAAAAGAATATAATAAACAAATAGATAACAAAGAAAAAATTGATCATACCAAAGGAATAAAGAGAGTGATAAAATACCTTTTTTGTGCTCAATCGTTTCGAACTCTCATAGACTAAAAACTTTTTGACAAATTCGACAGATTCGTTAGTTGAAGCATTTGGAAGATGTTCTGATTTGGTGAGGCCATCTGTTGGAGACGGAATGAATTCTATTTTTCCATAATCGGGTAAGGTCTTCATTTCTGGCCACGTTGTGTCATTCGGCACCCCAAGGACATGAAAAACCTTGCAAATATGAAGAATATCTGTTTCTCCTTGGAATAAATGTGATCCGACAGGTTCGGTGAAAAATTCGGCAACTACACACCCAATTGACCATAAATCAATGGCATTTGTATAATTGGAAGCCGAAAAAAATAACTCAGGAGCACGATAAAACCTTCAAAAAATCAAATATATTATATTGTCATGTGATTTAAATTTGAGAATATTCATAAATATATACCTTGTCCCAACATCTGATGATAAGGTTCCTTTCTTCTCATCAGTATCTGATTCCATCCACACACTTCCGAAATCTGCAATCTTCACCACACCAAATTCATCGATTAAAATATTTCTCGCAGATATATCACGATGTATTATCCCTTGACTATGAATATAATCAAGACCTTCGAGAAACATCCGAATACAAGCTTTTTTCTGCTCTTCCGTTAATTCATGTTTTACGCAGAGTGAGTTTATTGTCAACGGACAATAAGGAAAGACAAGGTAGGCACTTGTTAAGTTTATGACTGTATTATCCCAATTATCCCAATGCAGCAGTTTAATCACCTAATTTTTTGTATTTATATTAATATGAAATAATAATAGAAAAATTCAAAGGTAAAAAAAGATAAAATTGAAGCAAAACAATAAAATAATCAAACATTTTTATTTTGTAATTTTTGCAAAGAGCGAATCTCCTTGACCCGAGACTCCCGCATCTCTGCGTCTCTATACCTCATAGATTTAAAGGAACCTTTTACTGCAACCAAAACTCCAGTTTTCTTTTCTTTTGCTTTATAGACTATACTATAGGCGCCTTCACCACATTTCTCTAGAATCTCGTAATTTTCAAGTGACATAATTAAGTAAATAACTTATTTAATTTTCATTTGTTGAGTGAATTTCTGTTTTTTGCATGTGAGATTAAAATCTGATCCGTGATTTCTCTAGTTCTAATTGTTTCTTTGAAGTATGTATTTTTATTTGGCACGTCAGACTCTAAAATTAGACAATAGTGTTCCTGTCTAATTATATCCAAAAAAAGGACTACTATTGGTTTGGAGCTACTCCACGATCAATTAACAACTTATTTTGGCAGTGGCCACTCTCAAATGTCATCAACAAACTCTATCAAAATCTTTGCTGGTAACTCTCATGTAGAACTTGCAAAGCTCGTAGCCCGGTAAATCGATTTTCAACTTACAGCATACACGTAAAAGAAACTAATAAAACTAATAAACTAAAAATAAATTTTTTTTGTTGACCCAGACGAATAGGTATAGAACTTTGTAAGGTGGCAGTAATAAAATATAGTAATCAGGAAACCTGTGTCACAATTGGCGAGTCTGTTCGTGACGAAGATGTTTTCATTATACAATCTGGATGTGGGGAAATCAATGATAATTTGATGGAACTTCTTATAATGATCAATGCGTGCAAAACCGCGTCTGCTCGACGAATTACTGCAGTGATTCCTTGTTTTCCATATGCAAGACAAGATAAAAAAGACAAATCAAGAGCCCCAATCACAGCAAAATTAGTGGCAAATATGCTGACTGTCGCTGGTGCTAATCACGTTATTACTGTGGATTTGCATGCGAGCCAGATTCAGGGGTTTTTCAATGTTCCTGTGGATAACTTGTATTCGGAGCCTTCTATGCTAAGATATATCAAAGCGGAAATAACAGGGTGGACAAATACAATCATTGTATCTCCTGATGCTGGTGGTGCTAAAAGGTTTTTATTATTTGACAATGAATTTTAAGAGTATCTCTCGTATACGATTATTAATTAGTTGATTGATTAAGGGCAACGGCAATAGCAGATCGTCTTAATTTAGATTTCGCCTTAATTCACAAAGAACGCAAAATAGCAAATGAAGTATCACGTATGGTATTAGTAGGTGACGTCCGTGGAAAAGTGGCCATACTAATCGATGATATGGCCGACACTTGTGGGACTTTGGCGCTAGCCGCCTCCACCCTTAAAGAAAATGGAGCAACCAAAGTATTAGCTATCGTCGCACATGGAATTCTTTCCGGTAAAGCCATTGAAGTGATTAATAAATCTTGTTTGGAACGAGTGGTTGTTACAAATACGATTCCTCATGATGATAAGAAAGCCGTTTGTCCTAAAATCCATACAATTGATATTTCGGCTACACTTGCGGAAGGTAAGAGAATAATTACATTTTAAATATTTCTTTATTATTTTAATTAATTTTTACTTTATATTTTTTTAGCCATTCGACGTACTCATAATGGCGAATCTGTTTCTTTTCTGTTTTCGCATGCTCCGGAATAATAAAGAATTTAGACTCAAATTCCATTATAATCTCAAGATTTCTTTTTATTATGATCTATTTATTAATATTATTTTACAACTAAAAAATTCAGAAATCACATGATTGAGTTTATGGACAGAATTAAATACATCGCATAGTAGCATTTGTAAAACTCTATCTACTTCAAAAAAAAAGAAAAAAGCATTAGTTATTATAAAGATTTCACTTGTAAATGTAAGATTACCTTCATTAGACACAACTCGTGTTGTTTTCGGCTTCCTCC